TGTTGGTAGTATCCCAAAAATACTCCAACAACGCACGAACAACTGAACACAACCTCGGGGGCTGCGAAATCCTACAACCGCTGAATAGAAATCTCCTAAACCAGCAAACTCCTACAAGGCGTTAGTGACAAGATCCCTCGAGATAATCCTGTATAGTCGAGGAATCAAATATCCAGCTTCGGATCCATGATGGCGAAGCGTGCCATCGACTACGCCGGCAAGTGGACGGTGAGAAATGTGGTTCTCACGCCAGAAAACCAACTCGTCTGGAGTCCACGGAGGTGGAATCCATCTACCCCTACCTGTAGAAGGGCGAGGCTCAATCTCTAAGGCATCGTCTTCCATGCCCTCGGGAACTATGGGAGTGTCCTCTCGAAAAGCCTGACGTCGGCCACGAGTAGAAAGATCGCGATCGCGTCGTCTAGGAATGCTATTACACTCAAACAAAAATTGAGCTCCAAAAGTTCAAAAAACCCCTGAAGACAGTAGCAGAACCACCGCGACACGGTAGTTCAAGCTGTGACACTGTATCTCCGTCCATGTCGCGGCAACCCTCTGACAGCAGCGACGAACAACGGCGGAAAAATTGAAACAAAAACAGCGGAGTAGAAACGCCGTGACACGAGAACAGAAACCGTGACACGATGGGGCTCTACGTGAGCCGATGTTGATAGGTCGTGGCACGGTAACCGGCGAAATTTAAAATAAAAAAAATGGAGAAGAAAGAGCAAAAGGAAATTGGGGAAATGAAAATGGCGAAGAAGTAACAAAATGGGAAAGTAGCAGCTCGAATTTAAAGCCAAAAAAGTAGCTGTTACGCGGCTCCGTTCCCGTGCCACTTATCCCGTTACCGCGTAACGGCGTTTCAGCACGTGGAATGGTGATGTTATCAAGGCGTGTTGAATTTTTCAGCAAAATAAAGGTCCCGCGTCACAGGGTTCTCCACCGTCTGATAGGACATGCCACCGTGACGCGGTGCGCAACTGTGTCATGCGCTCTTTAAAGCTCCTTGCGAATACTTTGGCATCTTTGACTAAGTTGGGATGATTTTCCGCAACTTTTGGACAGTTATTTTCTCACCGGAATTATGCGGAAAATTTTAATTGGTATTTAAAGGGTACCAAAATTACCAGTTTACCCCTAACAAGCGTCAGGGTCACATTTTCGACATTTTAAACACCTAATATGGTCAGATAGTCGACTTGAAGGTAAATCATCTACGACCCACGTTCGGAGACAATTGAACCATCATTATTTCATGGCGCAAGATTCTCGATGCAAAGAGACTTGCAAATTTCATTCAACAAGTTTTTTCCTCAAGCATGGAAAATTGTCGGTCGTGTCACCTCTCAAAGTAAAGAAGTCAGCGATTATATCAGCTGTCGGTTTTCCTCAAGCATGGAAAACATTATCGGTGGATTTTTCTTCAAGTATAGAAAACCGCCAAGTCGGCTTTCCTCAAGCATGGAAAGCATTATCGATGTATTTTTCTTCAAGTATAGAAAACCGCCAAGTCGTCTTTCCTCAAGCATGTAAAGTATTATCGGTGGATTTCTTCAAGTATAGAAAAACCGCCAAATTATTCTGTTGGCTTTCCTCTAGCATGGAAAGTATTATTCCGTGGATTTCTTCAAGCAAGAAAAATGCCAAAACCATATGTCGACTTTCCTCAAGCATGGAAAGTATCATCCGGTAGGTTTCTTTAGGCTTAGAAAGCTACCAAATTCATCAATCAACTTTCCTCAAGCATGGAAAGTGTTTCAGCAAAACATGATTCGGTAGATTCCTTAAAGCATAGGAAGCTACCAAACTCATTTGTCACCGATACACTGGTGTCAGATACGCATTCTATCCCTTTACTCTTTTATCTGTGAGACTAACATTTTACTGTAGGTATTGGCGTATAAAGAGTGATTTAGGATCGCCGAACGTCTTAAATCATTCTCCGTCCCTATCGACTACTTTGACTATCGTTTTTGAAACTGATGTTTCTACAAACTCAGTCAAAGTGGGGGCTTCTGTAGACACCTAAAAATGTCTCCCCGAAACCAAACCTGATGATGAACAATCTTAAACCGCCATTATTGGTCGGGTTCAGTATTTAATCCCGAGAGTGCTTAAAAAATCGTATTTAATTAAATTTAGTTTTTAATAGTCCATGGATCAGTCTTGATATTTAGTCAAAGCATAGTTTATTTTTATTTTTTGCCCAAACCATTTTATTTATTTATTTTATTTATTATTTTAGCCCAATTAATAAAAAATAAATCATAAATGGCCCGAAATGATCAATCGGCACTTACAAAGGTTGTAGACATCAGGGCAAAAATGTATTTAGACGGAAAAATGGATGCAGGATTTTCCCCGTCACGGCATACAGTGCCGTGTCACGGGACAATATGCCGCGCCACGGCACTGTTCCCCGTGACACGATGCCAGAGCTCCCGTGTCTTTTCCCCGTAATCCCTTCACGCGTTTTACCTCCCGTAGGTCAGATATTTCCCGTTTCACCCAAAAATATCCCGCATCACACAAATTTTCACCGTGTCATGGCAATTTTTGCCGTGTGGCGGCAGTGTTTTTAGGGTTTTTATCCATTTTAGGGTTCCGTGTGTTCCGTCTACTCATTTTCCCTATAAATACCCCCTCATTTCTGATGTACAGGGCATCAATTAACTTTCTTTTTCTCTCTTCTATGCTCTAGCCTAAACACTAGCCTACCTTTCTTTCAAAATTCCTTCCTTAAGAACTCCAAGGAGTCCGTACGTTACTCGAGGTTCTGTCCTTAAACTAAGGCGTGAAAGGTAGAAATGTTTGAGGGTTTGCCCCCAAATCAACTCTATTAAATTTAATTTTATTTAATTATTGTTTAATTAATTTTCCTTGAAGTTACTAACTCGTTTATTGTTTTATAGTTGCAAGCAAACAAAATCAAAGTAAGAATTATGTTCCTTTTATTTCTATTATTTTTCTAACGATTTTATATTGTTAGATTTATTGTTAATTGCTTCCAATATTAATGTATATTCTATTATATTTTTTAATTATCACTATATTGCATGTTAAAGGGAATATGTAATTGAAAATCACGCCTAATAAGATCATTTGGATGTCCGGTTTAGTTTCCTTTTAATCTTATTGTTTAATCAAGTGATCACGATATTTTAGAATTATATGTTGCATTAATATTAAACCAATTTAGATTAATAATAGTTTGAAGCGAATTGAATCTTTGTTTGCATGCCTTGAGATCGCAGGAATCACTTTTCACTATAAGAATCGAGTAGAGGCCAATGCAGGCGAATGTGACTCCATGACTCACTTCATACCATCATCCCCGATCCTCCATTCATGGTTCCGAACCATATGGAGTTAGTAATCTCATGGATTATAAATGGGGTGTAACCTTCACGGGTCAATCGTTGTTGCCTTTTGTTGTCCCTTAATCGTGGTTGCCTTAAATGATTTGTGAACGGTTTACAAGTTCCTTAAAAAACTTGTTGGCGGCTCCCTACTTTCCTTGACCCTGATCATATATGTCGATTCCCACTTCCTATGAGTGCCAAGAATATTCACAGCATGCTTTAACGTAGGCGCACTTCAAACGATGCCTACAATAACGGAATTAAATGCGTCAAATGCAATGATTGGATCCAAAGGATCATACATTGTTGAAAAACCGAGCCAAAAAATTAAACCAACCATCAAATTTCCGTGAATGGCCTATACATATGGATAGCCCTTTCAAAGAGCTTTCCAACGTTATATTATAAGCCTAATTCCAGCTAAAACGAAGAAGTTATGATCAAAACACTAAATCGGGCCCTTAAACCGACACCCTTGCACTCCAACGGCCATATCTATTGATCCATAACAAATTTTAACCTAATTTTAACGACATTGGAAAGTATATACTTTCAGATATTTCCAATTATATCTCACAAGCCTTAATCCAAGTTTGCAATCAAAAGTTATGAAAGTTTTAAAAACGCATTTTCGTATAAGTCAAACCGCATCACAGCGCAACTCGGTAAGTTGTGCGCGACTCATTGAGATGTGCGCGGAACCCAACGCGACTTAGAGAGTTGCGCACACCACCTGACGGCGCGGATCTAAAACCCTAAACTTATATCCCTACGCCTATAAATAGGGGTATTCGTTCAACCCGAAAAAGGACAGGAAAAATCAGAATTCTAAAAACCCTAAACTCTGAAATCCTTAATCTCTCAAATCCTCTTACTATCATAGTAATTTTCTTCTCTCTTTCCAAATACTTTCCAACCCTAATTGACTCCATTGAAGTCCTTGGAGGTAAAAGAAGAAAGAAGGTCCATAAACATCTAAAACGGAGATCTTTGCATAAAAGAAGAATGTTAGTTTCCTGAGCACTTAGATAAATCACTTTTCTTTTGTTGTTTAAATAACTTTAATTGATTTATTAGTGTTGGTTAATCACTATAAACAAACTTTTAATTAATTAATTCACATAGTTCTTTCGTTAATCAAAGACTAGAACTGAATAATTAATTTATTGTTTTATCACCTAAGTCAAGGCAAATATTGTTTACTTTTGTTATTTCACGAATTTGATTAAAAAGAAAAACGACATTCGTTGAAATGTAATCTTTATGTGATTAACTCGTATAAATAAAATCAACTAACTTAGTTTTTAGGTATCACGTTGCATATATTGTTTGGTGATGAAATTGTGAAGAAAAAAAAAAGAGCTAGTAGAGGCCACACTAGGGATAGAATAGCGATTCCTCCCTAAAAGGAACGTTATTTTAGTACCCTCGCTCCCGAACTCATCTCTGGTACACGTTGATTAATTTGGGCATGGGTAAACTTACGATTCGTGCTAATTATTCCTTGAACTCTACTTGGGAGAAAGGCATTAACGAGGTTTATTAGTTTTTCTAAAACTCATTGGCGATTCCTACTTGTTTCTTACAAAAAAGCGTGATAATAGAATCAATTCTAATTCAAGGTCCCCCAAATAGTCAAGAATTCAAATCCTAATACACCCTAACAAGTGTAAAGTCCTAGGATTTTAAAAGGCCATGTGAATCTAAGGAGAAGGGTACGATGGGAACACCCTTTTTACAGGGGGGGAGGGAAGTGTGAATGTTGATAGCGGGAGGGGAAGCAATAGTTAGAAGACATGCCTTGAGACTATCTGTAGTAGGTCTAGACAATCGATTGCCAACATCTGGTTTAGGCGCAGGAACACTAACCTAGAGGGAAAAAAAGAATTTAAGGAGAGGATCGTCAATTATCAAAATAAAAATTTACCACTATGCATATTCTGTGAAACAAAAATACTGTACAAGAAATAAGGGTACAAACAATAGCACGTTCCATTATTTTTTCTCGGGTATAGTCTCAATGCAAGCATAGTCCGGACACAGACTAATTCCAATCAATTACATCTTAATCATCAGATCCACTTAAGATATACTCCATAAAACTTTAACTTAAAATATGGAGCAAGAAAAATCATGCCAATCATCATGCAGCCAGGCACAGGACAAGACAAATTTGTCCAAAATGTCTAACACTAACCATTCAATTATGGGAAAAATTATCACCTTTAAGTCTTTCACATCTGCATGGATCAGCAAGCTCAACATGAGCAACTAATTCTATTACATACGAGTAGTACTTATGGAATTATGTACTAGAGCATTCACTTGGGCCAATAAATTTTCCCCTGGAGGAACAGATAAGTATGGTCAGCTTCCACTACGTAGCATCTTCTCTGCTTTCATCTAATTACCTGGCATGTCCTCCCATAAAGGAGAGAACTAAATCTTTCATTCAGGGGTTGTTTGGTTCAAGTTAAGTACAATGTAAATGGTACAAGAGATGGGAATAACAGGCAAACAAAATGCAGGGTATACACTATACAGTCAAACCTAGTATTCCATATGCAAATACCCTACCTTTGATCATTTCAGTTGTTGTTTGCTATGATAAGGACTGAAAAACCCCCAAGGCATTTGGGCCAAAAAAACCTAACCTATATCCCGCTCTATGATATTTATGACACCTCCTTCCCTTTTTGACCTCCTTACATAATCATGTCATGTCCACCATGCCACCAGCACCACCATTACTTCATCTTTCTCTGCCCACAACCCCCACCAATTTTCTCCCTCACTTTCCAAAGACTAGCTAACCCATCACAGCATCGTCGCTATTTACCCACTCAACATGACCACTGAGTATGGGTAGGCCCAATCCAATAACAGATTGAAACGAAGGCACCAGCTATCAAGTATCAACAAAAGCAGGAAAAAAGAGGCAGGAGAAAGACAGACTGGAAGATTTTCTTGTTCCAATTATATTATTAGATTCAATCCCTGAGGTTTTATTTTAAAGCCCTTATCACTACAGACATCATGATCAACACAGCTTTAGTGTCAAAAGGTGATTATGTAAGGACTTCCAAACCTTAAGAAGAGCCAAGAGGATGTGCTTAGAGGAGGGAATCAAGGAAAAAGGAAAGTTTTGAATTTTATTTTCAATTAATTGAACATGGGTAAATGCAATAGATAAACTTCAACCAACACCCAGCAAAAAAAAAAAAAAAAAAAAAAAAAAAAAAAAAAAAAAAAAAAAAAAAAAAAAAAAAACCTAGAGATTTAATTTCCTTTCTCCAATGACAGTCTTTTTGGTCAGGCGATAGCCTAGCTATTAAACTATATGGATGCAGGTGACAGTCCCCATTGGAAGCCCTTGCTTCAACTTCATCTTCTGATAAAACTAAATTCCTTATCAGAGAATTAGAGAGTATTCAGATTTCAAGAACTACTTCTTTATAGTATAAATTTTTTTAACTTTTTTATCAGATATCTTTGAAGAGACAAGGATTTAATTATATGCATTTAACCTGTAAATCAGGAGAAAAAGGAAGAATTAAAGGGAACTCAGTACTTTGCAAACTTCACGTGATGCCTCATTTCACATCTAACTATGCGCACAGTATATCCTTGAACTTTCAAATTAGGCATAATGTATGCAAAAATGCAATGGTCTTCTAGTTTCTTTCGAATAATGTTGAAGTGGTAGAAGAGTTCTTTGTTAGTTATGTGACAATTTAATTTAAAGGTTTTGTTATTCATCTCCATCAATGCGCGTGAAATAATGTTGATATGTTACTTTTCCACATGCATTGTATTAATAAAACTTAACAAAATACTTATGATAAAAAGTTAAATAGGTCAAACAACAAAAAGTTCTCCAACCACATCACATATTCGACATATTATGGTTCCAAACTAACAACACATTATGGTTACACATATATCGTTTGTAACATAAAAAGTAAGGGGTATACTGTGGACACAATTAGGTTGGAAAGGTATGACATGAATTTTGCAAAAGTTAAAGGAATATCTTACGAAATATCCCTAAAAAATCCAGGAAATAAGCCAAATAGCAAAAAGATACTCCGCATGTATCAACTAAAAAGAGAAGGCACAGGTGTACCTCAGATGGAACACTTGACTTCATGACAGAAGGGACATAATCTTCCTCCATTGATCTTCCAACATAGTTTTGCAGTACATCTTTGCCACGAGAGGATTCATCTGACCATCATATTAAACGTGTAAGAAAACATCGGTAACAACATACAGAGATAGGATAGCAACCTATTCTCAATTAGGCATCCCTTCCCCGCACCAATGCCCAATCTCGAAACCACAGACTGGTTAAAAAATTATGCAACCAGTTAGGGATTTTCCTTTCACAACAAAATCAGACCATCACACCTGGTCTGCTGCAAACTAGAAGGCCAAGGAGCACGGTGCCTTTATGTAAACAAAAATAATCACTCTAACAGAGAAAATAAGGTACCTTTATGCCCAGGTTGCAATTCTTGCAAACTTAAATTTCCACGCTGCATGCAAGGGGTGCCAAATGAAATATGTAAGCAACTAGCAGGAAGAGTTAATACACACAACAAAAAATAGCCTTCCAGGAATGCATAAACTAGGTAGCTACAAAGTCTTACAATTAATTTATCAGCATAACTTGTTTCAGATATACTATCAGAGAGCTCTTTGGCATGATGATGATCCTCTAAATATCCTTGGTTCAGATTGGTCAACAATTAAAATGAGGATAATTCTGTCAGAAAAATATTAAACAGTATTTTTATATAAGAATTTTACAAATCCTTCCCCACATCTATTTCTTTTATATTGAATGTAGGTTTTACCATTTTATGATTTACCAAGTTAGCATCATCTTCATCCTCTTCAATATCTTCTTCTTCAAGTTCTTCTTTCTCAAGTAGTTCATCCAACCTGGACATTATACGGGCATATTATTCATCATCAACTACCCCAGCACTACTATTACCGATTTCAGACACACTAGGTGCATCGGCCTTTTCTAGGCCTGAAATTCCATGCAAATTGAAAATGATAGATCCCTCTATTGACAGTACTTTTTGTAAATGTGAACGCACATCTTATCCTCCATGTTACTAAAACTATCAGCATAACAAGCAATGGGAGAGACAATAGTGAATCAAACTATACAACTCATATGATAGAAGTCAGTGAATCTCTGTTAGCAAGAATCGGCATGTAGCATCCATATATTCACCAAAACAAAAAAAATAAAATATTGCAAATATAAATGCATCAATTCAATTAACTATACATCTGAATAGAATTGCAAGTTTGATATTCAGAAAACATGTTTTGGTACCTGATGCAATCTTAGAAAACTAATCAGAAACGAAAAACTTGACGGTGTTCTGCACTGTCTGGTTTAAAATCATTTACTTTCATCCCTAAGTCACTAAAAACTCATATAAAGGATATTTTAGGCCACTCCACACACAGTGACACATAGACACACGGAAGACCAAAGGCAGGGACAGAGATAATAAAAGAAAATCCTTTGTTGAAATTAATTTTAGGGTAGCAGATTATAAAGGTCAATTGGTCACATGAAGAAACATCATCCAGCTTTTAGTTAGAGCACACAGACAAGGCTTTCAAACAATTATGATGTTGACTTACTCAATAATTAGAAAAAAAAATACGTCAAGCACAAACATAAACAAATAAATTTTCCAATAACAAGATACGAAGTGTTTATAGTTTGAACAAAAAAAATGTCCATAGTGCACAAGAAAGGTTTTGGCAATAGTAGTGAGCTACTGTTGAATCAGCAGATAACTATGGAAGCATGCAAGTTAGCATGTCAAAAGATGATGCTACCATCAAAGACAATCATTCACTTTAAGAAAAATAATTAGCATAATTTGGACATACTTCCTCCAGAATCTTCATCATCGCTACACTCTTCCCTGATCTCCACAAGCCCCTCCTGCAATAAGCACAGAAAAGCTGAACTAAGAAGATACAAATCAGTCTAAAGCAAACAATAAAGAACAAGTAATACACAAGCAACTGAGTCAAAAACTTACCACAGCTTCTGCAGCAGATCTGTCTAAAAATGAGGCCTCGGCTTTAAGATCTTCAATCACAGCCTTAACAGAACCAACTTGCGACTCCAACGTCTGCCCTCTTCTTTTAAGAATGTCAACAGTTTGTTTGGTTGTTCTATCAGAAAAATAACCCTCTCCTAGGAGAACCTGATACCCACTCAAACAAGCTTCTCTTAGTTTATCCTTCTATGTAGGAAATCAACTCATACAAACAAAACAAAAAACAAAGGTTTTCCAATCACTATCAAACACATATACTCCATCTACAAGAACATTAGGTCAGTAAAACTTCAACAACAATAATGAACAGTAAGCCGTGTATCCAATGGGTGTATCGTACCAACAAGGTTAGTCACCGTCACCCCTTTACGAAATTAAAATTTAAGTGATTTATGGTGACAAACAATGACAATACACCGGTGACCCTTTGTCGATTCCAAATCAATCTTGGTTCATTGTAATAGCAAACTAGGCCAACAAATTTTCATTGCATATATCAGCAATTCATGGATACTCAATATAAAAAAAACTCTAAATTAAAGCTTAATTTGAATTTGTTTGCTAAAAATATAGAATACTTTGCTCAAATGAGAACTTGCACACAATAATTGCAAACCTTATTCAAATCAATCAAAATTGTCAACAAATAAGCTGAATCTTTGCAAAATCGCATATTTAAGCAAAAAATGTCGCAAATTAGATCATACAACGTGAGTATAGTAACTTAGATAATCAAATTCCGTATTAAATCATCAATAAAAATATACTAAAAGACTCACCAGCAATTACACGTGTCATCTCTTGATGTGTCCTTTATCCTGGTGTGCCCTTTAGGGTTTTTTTTTGTCTTAATTGTTAAAAATTAATTATTTTCTAAATCTTTACTTTTTGTTTGAATAAAAAAAATCAATCACAACACTAGGAAAAATATCATAGATTATAATACATGCATAATAATAATAATAATAATAATAATAATAATAATAATAATAATATAATAAACATTAACTAATAACTACATGAATGATATACTGATTGATTACTAATAATTTTTTTCATATTTATATAAGATATTGCCAAAACATTTTTTAAAACATACTGTTAGTCAATTAGAGTTCATAACAAGAGAAATGTTGAATAAAGAAGTAATACATTATTCAGAAGATATGGATTAATATTGTAAATGGCTTGATTTGAGATAAAATAATAGCGTGATTTTAATAGTGAGTACAAAAGGGAGTTGAATTATTTCGCGAGGTAGATATATAGTTTTTAAATTTTTTTTTTAATTAACAAGAAAATAACGGCACCGCACTGAAATACATAAATATAATTATATGATCAAATGCATAAAGGCTAATTGGATCTTCCGTGATTATTTCAATAAATATTTTGGTAGGTTATTTCACAATATTAGTAGACAATTTTCTTACACTAAATTTTTTACACTAACTAAATAGTGTAGAATTGCTGAATTGATAATTATTCTAAAAACTACCATGCGTGGCACGGGACCTAATCTAATCTAATAAAACAAAATAACAAAGCCAAATTACCAGGAATTCATTAGTATGAACCAAACGACCTGGAAAGAACGCCGCCTTACCAAATTTAACCTGAAAAATAAAAAATAAAAGTAGATTAAAAAAATAAACTTATTATTTCACAATACCAAATAATTAGCCCAAAAATAAAAGAAAAAGGAAAAGGAAAATTGAAAGACTTGGATGTGGTGGTGGAGTTGATCGGGGAGACGTTACGAGGTTGATGAGGTTAGTATTGTCGACGACAAAGCGTCGGAGGTTGTCGAGTTCCTTGCGGTTCTCGAGGATTTTGTCGTTTACGAGTTCGGCGGCTTTGCGAGCTTCTTCTGCTAGGAACATTGATGACAGTGACGCCATTGTTCCCTTCCCTTTCTCACGAACCGCCATTGAAGAGAGAGAAAGTGATTGAGTAAAAATGTTGAAGGAAAGGAGGATTTCTCCCGCACCAGAATTTTAAAAAGGGAAGAACGGAGAGTCTACTAAAACTTTGAAGCAAGAGAAGAGGAAAAAAGATTTTCTTCCGTTGCCGGGAGTTTATATTTTCTTTTTTAAAACTTATGGAGTGTTTGGTATTTGAGAATGAGAATTGAGGCACATAATATTGGAAACAAAAACTTTTGCATGTCCTCGGTTTACAATAATTTTATTGTACATCGAATATTTTGTGAAAAAGTGACCCTTTTCTTACAAAAGTGACCCTTTATTCTCAAAAGTGACCCTTTTTCACAAAAATAACATTTTTTCACAAAAGTGACCCTTTTTCACAAAAATGACCATTTTGCACAAAAATATCCCTTTTTTTTTAACAAAAGTGACTTTTTTTCCCTCAAAAGTAATTAAGCTACATATGTAAATTGTAAAACAGAGTATCAAAATCTCACTAGTTTTTTTTGTTTTTTTTTTCAAAAGTAAACCATATTATGTTACTTTGATTCGGAAATTTTTGCTACTACTTTTGATATATTACTATTGCAACTATTGTTACTCACAACACATAGGATTTGGCATCGTTACCATCGACTGAAGATTTGGCATCGTTACCATCATTACCCTCGAAAGCAAAGAAGAGCTTGATGCCGCGATCGAGGGAATAAACGGTCAAACACTCAACAACCGTCAGATGATTGTTGACGAGGCTCAAGCTCGCGGCAGTGGTGGCAACGATGGTGGCTTCCCGTAGTGGGTGAAAAATAAGTGAGGAGAGAGAGAGAGGCTCAAGCTTGCGGCAGTGGTGGCAGCGGTGGTGGCTTCCATAGTGGGTGAAAAATAAGTGAGGAGAGAGAGAAACTGAAAAAGAAAGTAATGAAGAGGGCTCACGTGCTATTGATTTACAATAGCATTATCGTACATCCGATTTTTTTGAACATTTGTGTATTGGAAATTAGTTTATGGTAATTTCATTGGGAATATACTAAAATAATTCTCAATCCAATGTTTGACATGTTTATAGGATTATGTTGGAAATAGATATAATCTATAACTTTATACTAAAGGCGAAATTAGGAATAACACATGTCATCTCATAATTAAAAATTTTCCCTCCAAAAGTTTTTTTTTTAACTTTTTATTTTTTTGGTCAAAGCTTCTTAGAAAAGTTTTTAATACAAAATACAATAATATTATACATTTCCTATTTGATAAGTATATTCCATTTGTACACAATCAAACAAAGATATTATTTTTTTATACAATATTATGCAATAATATTGTGTTATCTATAACTTTGTAATGTAATTCATAGATAGTTATTTTTATTAGTCATGCATATACTATTCTCTCTGTTTTCTTTAGTGTGATAATGTTTTTTTTTTTTAATTTTGTTTGTAATTAAAGAACTTTCATCCTATTTTGCAATTAGGTATAATTTTTTATTATAAAATAACAGTATTAAACTAATGATAAGTATTAAAAATTACCGTGCATGAAACGTGATTTAACCTACTTTATCAAAATAACCATATCCACTCCTTTACTCTTCCTTTTCTTTAATGACAATATAGTCATTTAATTCATTTACAATTTTCATTCACAATTACTTGTCCCCCTTTAAACAATGAATCATGGAAAATGTTGGGAAAATTCTCCATTCCGAACCTACCTCCTTTTCGCATTCCCATCAAACAAATATGGAAAAGGTGATGAGGTGGGAAATAAATTTCCATTCCACCCTCATTTCCCATCAAACAAACATCCCCTTAAGGTAAATTAATAAGAGAGATATCTTAGATTTTGGGAAAACTCCTTGGGTTGGAGTGTGTACCATTGAATAATATATATAGTGTTACAATACTAGTCCTAATCCTGTTAGGAAACCTAGTATGATAAGAATACAAACTATATCACAAATATATACAAATATATCCTAGCTCTGCGACAAATATTATCATAATCCTATAATATCTATCGCACCCCCACAGTCGTAGCGGGAGGAGGGCGAACGCTAAGACTGGACCTGAATTCCAGATATAATTCTCGTGGTAGGCCTTTAGTGAAAATGTCTACGAACTGATATCTGGAAGGAACATGCAGAACCCGAACCTGTCCCAAAGCAACCTTTTCTCGAACAAAATGAATATCCATCTCCACATGTTTGGTGCGTTGGTGTTGTAACGGGTTACCAGAAAGGTATATTGCACTGACATTATCACAATAAACAATAGTAGTCTGCCGTAGAGGACAATGTAACTCAAGTAGGAGATTACGGAGCCAACATGCCTCTGAGACAACATTTGCAACGCCTCGATATTCTGCTTCTACACTCGACTTAGATAAAGTATGTTGACGCTTAGATGACCTAGACACGAGGTTGTCCCCAAGGAAACAACAATAGCCCGATGTGGAACGTCGGGTATCGGGACAACCTCCCCAGTCAGAGTCAGTGTAAGTAATAAGTCGATGAGAAACAGTCGGATATAAATGTAAGCCGTGATCAATGGTACCCTGAACATAACGTAGAATGCGTTTCAATTCCTCAAAGTGAGGTTCCCAAGGATCATGCATAAAAAGACACACCTGTTGTACCGCGTAGGCAATATCTGGCCTAGTGAAAGTGAGATATTGTAGAGCACCTGCTAGACTGCGATAAAGTTGGATCCCGAACCGGTGGTCCTGCATCTGCACTAAGTTTTGAATTAGTTTCAACTGGAGTAGCTGCAGGTTTACATGAGCCCATACCTGCACGCTCTAAAATCTCATGTGCATACTTTATTATGAAAGTAGCAAATAAGAGGGAGTAGAGTCACCGCAATCCCTATAAAATAACTCAATGGCCCTAAATCAGTCATAGGGAACTCAGTTTGTAACTGAGAAATGATCCCTGCACGTAACTTATCAGATGAAGTAGCTATTATAATATCATCAACATATAGAAGCAAATATGCCATATCATCACCCTGTCGAAAAGTAAATAGAGAGGTGTCACTCTGAGAAATGACAAAACCCAATTTTATGAGAAAATTTGCAAAGCGTTGGTACCAAGCCCTGGGAGCTTGTTCAAACCATAGAGAGACTTGCGGAGTCGACAAACATGAGTGGGTGCTCTCCGATCAAGAATCCTGGAGGTTGGTGCATGTAGACAATTTCCTACAAATCACCATGTAAAAAGGCATTTTTGACATCTAATTGATGTATCGGCCACTTTTTAGCTATAGCTAAGCTGAGAACAGTGTGAATAGTGGCCGGTTTAACTACCGAACTGAAAGTCTCATCACAATCTACACCAATTTCCTGCGACCTGCCATCACATACAAGATAAGCTTTGTGCCTTTCAACATCACCATTAGACTTGTGTTTATGCTTAAATAACCACATACAATTAACAATATTCACCCCCGTAGGCCTTGGCACCAATTCTCATGTCCCCGTATTAATCAAAGCACTATATTCATCAATCATCGCCGCATTCCAATTATGGTCATTTAAAGCTTGTTTATAGGATTTTGGAAGTGGTGATTTATGAAGGTGGGGACCCAAAGGTTGAACTGTGAGGTTACAATATTTCGGGTTTGGTTTAAAAATACCCCGTTGACTACGGGTGACTCGAGGCGAAGGAGGTGGTGGCCGAGTGGGTTGTATGGGCGGTATGCCAAACACAGGTGGCGGGGAGTAAGCAACTGTGGGTGTGATGGGGCTGCTGGCCGAGGGTGGTGTTGGCAGTGGGGTCCGCGGGCTACCCGCGGCTGGGACAGGGCTGCCGCAACCAGCCTACGGAGTAGCCTGCTGGACAGTGGGCGTCGGTGTGGGCAGCAAGGTATGAGACGTGAGTCTGGGATACTGGGCTGGCAACACAGGATTGGGTTGGCGACACGGGTGCTGGGCTGGCGACACGGGTCTGGGTTGCTGAGCAGGTGAGACTTGTGGGCTGACAGACTCGTCAGTTGGGCCTTGTGGGTTTGGGTTGGTTTGTTGCGGGCTATGAAGAAAGGGATGCAACAAGTGGGGTGATGGTGAATCCTCACCTAAAAAATCATAATCATGAGTACGGTAATGAGCTATATTTCGAAAAGGGAAGTTGCTTCATCAAATGTGACATGACGCGATATGAGAATTTTATTTGTGGTGAGATGAAGACATCTATACCCTCTATGGTCAATAGGATAACCCAAGAACACACATGGAGTTGATCTAGGAGCTAGTTTATGTGGAGCTGTAGCGGATAAATTAGGAAAACATAGACACCCAAAGACACGGATGTGATCATACGAAGGAGTCTTTCCAAACAAGGCAAAAGCAGGAGTATTGTTTTTAAGAGCTTTTGTTGGCAAAATATTTAGAAGATAGGTGGCCGTTTCAAGAGCATAAAACCAATACGAGGGGGGGAGAGACGCATGAAAAAGAATAGTACGCTTAATATTATTAAGAGTGCGACTCATACGTTCAGCTTTGCCATTTTGTGAAGAAGTATGTGGACAAGAAAGTCGGAAAAGCATCCCATGGTCAATACATTTTTGCTTAAAGGGGTCATTATCAAATTCCCTACCATGATCACATTGAAAACTTTTAATTTGACGTTCAAATTGGGTTTCAACATATTTTCGGAAATTTATAAAGGATTAGAAAGCTTGAGATTTGTATTTTAATGGAATGGTCCACACAAAATGAGTATGAATAGTATTTGTGACCCTGAGCACTACGAATAGGAGAAGTCCAAAAATCGGCATGTATAATATCAAAGGCACAAATTGTAGTATTATTAGAATTATCAAAGGGAAGGCGAGTATGTTTTCCTAATTGACATGAATTGCAAAATTGGGAGTCATGCTCCTTATTACAATAAAAATGATTTTTAGATTTAAGAAAGCTAAAAACTTGAGCTCTAGGATGTCCTAGACGACTATGCCAAGTAGAAGGGGAAACAGCAGTGAGGGTAGTAGCAAGACAGGTTCAGGGAGTGGACTTGGTGGTTCTGACTGGATATAAATCTCCCGAACTATCACATCTCGTTATTAGTCTCCTCGTACGAAGGTCCTTCACAGAAAAACCAAAAGGGTCAAACTCAATAAACACAGAGTTATCAGTAGTAAATTTACGAACTGAAATAAGGTTCTTAATGAGTTGAGGTGCTAGGAGGACATCACGAAGGATAAGAGGTGTTTTAGGATGGGGAAGGGAGCCATGACCATAACCTGTTACTGGAATACGATGACCTTCACCAACTAAAATATGATTTTTAGTGCTTAAATTAAACAGGGGTAAGAGATTACCAGCATTGTTCGTCATGTGAGATGTTGCACCCGAATCCACGTACCACTGATTATCGGGATTTGGAAGTGTCATTATGGAGAATGAGGAAGTCAAGTCTGTGGGAGTCATGGGTTGCCCATATTGGGCCGTATAGGCCTGCTGGGGTCTGGGCTGTCCAAGAATGGACTAATGGTGCTGCTGGACAGGAAACGATGCTGGCGGCCTGGCCCAAGTTGCCTGCTGAGCCCATTGCTGGAAGCTCGCCCATAACTGTTGCTGCGTTGGGCCTGATGTGTTGGGTGGGGTGGTCTGGGCTTGGGCCGATTGGTGCTGCTAGTTCTGGACACGACCCCTACCTTTTCCCTTGGGTACGCCACCCCGTCTTCTACAGTTACTGCCACGTCCACTGCCACCACCACCCCTGGCTTGCTGTTGCGGCGGTTGCTGCTGCTGGGCGGCTGCCGCGGAGGTGGTGGTGGTGTTGCTTGTTTGGGTAACAAAAGCCTGCCCGGAGTTCTCCTTTGCGGATTTTCGAGACTCCTCTAACAAGATACGTGATCTTGCTTCATCAAATCCGGGGAGAGGTCGAATTTGGGTGATGGATTGAGCCACTTCATCGTAGACTGAGTCAATTAAACCTGCACAAAGGTGTAAAACAAGAGTTCTCTCGAACACGGGCTGACCAACATTAGCTAGTTGATCTTTGAGTTCTTTCAATTTCTGACAGTAAGAAGACACATCTGGAAAATTTTCAACAAAAAGATTGTTAAATTGGTTTTCAAGATAAATTGAGCGAATTTCACCATTATCTTGAAAAATATTAGCAAGTTTATCCCAGGTTTCCTGTGCCGTAGCATGCTTGTACAACACCGTGCTTCGTAAATCTGCAGAAATCGTATTGTAAATCCACTTTTTCATAATCGAGTCAAGGAGGTTCCACTGCGCCGTTGTGAGGTCCGTAGGACGAGGGGATTTAGGATCAATATGGTCGATAACATTGCAGGAGTGACAATGAATCTCAAAAAGTTCAACCCAACTATTGTAGTTCCCTTTGTCACGGTTAAGAATTTCGGGAACGTCATTCTTGATGTTGCTAATTGAATTAGCAGGGTGATAGTCATTAAATGGGGGAGGTGGTGGGGTTGGATTTTCATCATCTTTGGCCATTGTAAATTAAAGAAGAAATAAATTTGCCACTGAGAAAGAATCTTGCGGCTAGGTGGACAAAGAAACAGTGATGGAGGTAATGGAATTACCACGTGAGAAGGAAGGTAGCGGAAGAGAAAGGATCGGATCTTTTTAGAAAAAAATTTGTGGAACTCTAAAAAGATTTAGGCTGTGATACCACATTAGATTTCTGGAAAACTCCTTGAGTTGGAGTGTGTACCACTGAATAATATATATAGTTTTACAATACTAGTCCTAATCCTGTTAGGAAACCTAGTATGATAAGAATACAAACTATATCACAAATATATACAAATATATCCTAACTCTGCGACAAATACTATCATAATCCTATAATATCTATCAAGATACATATTGAAGGTAAAATTGTTAAAACTTACCTTATATTTACTTGAATTTGTAAACTAGTACTTTTTTTTGTCAACTAATACCCGACATGACAAATTAATTAAAATCAGCACCTTAGCTCAATTTTTCAACCAAAAAGTCAAATTTTCAACCATTGATTTTGCGAAAAAATTGACTTTTTTTGCTGAAAATCTGAGTTTAGGTGTTGATTTTAATTAATTTGTTAAACTAAGGTATTACGGGACAAAAAATCAAAAAGGGTACTATTTCGCAAATTCTTATAGACATACTTTTTTTTTTTTTTTGAAACCTTATAGACATATTGCTAGATTAGTACCCGTGCGTTACACGGTGATGATAAATATTTAATCTAATTTATATTATATGAGATTAATTTAATCATTATCATATGTTTTTCATTTAGTGGGATTATAAAAGTTTACTTGATGTTTTCTTCTTTTAATGTATTTATTTCATAATCAAATTAGGGTATGTTCTCATTGATTGAACTCAACTGAATTGAACTGATGAACTGAGCTGAACTGAACTGAACTGAAATGAATATTTTATAAGAGAAGGAAATTAGGAGCTGAACTGAACTGAAAATAAACGTATGAGAACAGTCCTTGAGTATGTTGAAGTAATCATAAAACAGACGTTTAAAAAAAATAGAATTAATATAGTTTTGTATGTGACTTAAGAATTTAATTTGAATATAGTATATTTTTAATACCTTTTCATCAAGAAAAACCATCTCAATGCTATTATAGTCATTTGGATTATCGAAGCTTGGTGGTTCCATAAGTGTATTATTTATATCTTAATTATAATATTTTCGTTAATTCCTTCATTGGAGTTATATCTTCAATGAACTCATATTGTTGAGCAGACATTTTCATATATCATGCATGATTAGATTAGTTACTCCCGAATAATCATAATAACTGACATCAAAATGAGTAAAACTTTGCAAATTGAAATATGGAAAAAAAATATTTTCATACCTTCAAATAAATAAGACACACATTGAACAAAGGTAATGTTGAAAAAAAAAATGCAACATATAAATATATATATAAAAAAAAAAAATGTCAATCACTTTGAATAATTATTGCTTTTTTTTATTTTATTTACACTTCTCGTCACAATTAAGGGCTTGTTCATATTTACTGAACTGAGTTGAACTGAACTGATTGGAGCTGAACTGAACTGAACTGAACTGATTGGAGCTGAACTGAACTGATTGGAGTTGAACTAAACTGAACTAAGCTGAAATGAATATTTTATGAGAGAGGGAAATTAAGAGCTGAACTGAACTGAACTGATTGGAGCTGAACTGAACTGAACTGAACTGAACTGATTGGAGCTGAACTGAACTGAACTGAAAATAAGTAAATATGAACAGGCCCTAAATATGAGGGAATTTAGGATAATTAGTTTTTTTTTTTTTTAATTTACACTTATAATTCACTTTGGCATTGTGGCCAAAAGTCCATCACTTTTCATCATTGGTAATTTCCGTATTGATAGCCTTTTTTATTTTTGAACAAAGCTTATTTTTTGAATGGATATATATATAGATTATGTTATGCAATTTGATAGTTCTGTATTTATAGGCAACCAACAACCGTAGTATGCATTATCATCTAATACAATACTTGTAGTGTTTTTTTTATTTTTATTTTTTTTTGAAATTTTTTTTAAAAAAAAAAAAAATTTGATGACATCATACGTCAAAATAGTGGGAAAATTTTTAATTTGAAAGCGACACTTAGGATAGGGAGGGGGGTGTATGATGTCAGCAAATTTTTGTTTTAGTATTAGTTAATAGAAGATTTGTCTATTAATTAGGAGTAAAGTAATAATGTAATGCATTATTCTTGGACATTTCGCTCTTGGGTTATTGGATAGTTCTCCTTTTTTATTTAGGGTTTGATCTTTCTAATTTGTCATGTCAGTTTATCTTATTTTGAACCCAAAAATTTTTTTCATGTCAAATGGAATTAAAAAAATCAAAAACGAACTAAAATTACAAAAGTATATAGAAAGCGAGGAGGAAAAAAATGGAGCATTGACGTTGACAAGGTGGACGATGCAAAGCGAATCATTATTCTATCAAGGGAAAGATTTTGGACTAAACGAATTTCAATAGAAAAGCCCTACATATGTTTCATATGCCTAAGCATGACTTAGAAGGAGGTACTATGCCTTAACAAATTGTACGGAAATTGCTTCTTGTTCTTCCGCCAGCTTGTAAAGGCTTGAGTCTTGGCGTAATAGTTGTGGCACTATGAGAGGTATGTCTTATCTTGGTGCTAACTACTAAGCCAAGTTTCAAGGATCAGAAATCATCAAACTCTTATGCTATGAGTTTTCAAATGTTGCAAGCACTCACTTCTAACAAGTCGATTATACAGGGAATAGTATGACACGTTATTCAAAATCCGCTACTCGTTTATATACAAGATACAACTGTTAGCTTTCTCGTTTATCTTACTTTAAAAAGAAAATTACAACTTTTAAGAGAGGGAAAAAAATTAACAGAGCTACGTGCCTACGTAACAAAAAAAAATCACAAGTAGTCAAGCAATGGGTATCTTGGAGTCGATCTCGAGTAAGATTAGCTCATTAGGACCCTTAGTCCTCTACTTACAGCAAACTGATTCGCTTGTACATAACAAAATCTCTTGCAAGCTTCAATAAAGGATCACATCTCAAGTACCTCTTTTTTCCCCTTTTAACTACTTATCATTTCTAGTTACGGTCTTTTGTTTATTAATGTTATTTGTTGGTATACGTACTACTTATTATTCATGTGCGTGTAACCAAATTGAAAATAGAAGTAGATTGTTAGAATATTGTGCAAACACCCTCAAATTACTATCTATAAATAAAAGAGAAACTAAGGAAAATAAATACAATTTGCGGAAGGTTAAACCTTTATCGGAAGTATTACTGTCACACTCGATAAGGACGATAACAAGTCAAGTGCTAAGGCTAAACGAAACCCCAAATTACAATTCAAATTATCTAGTTAAAACTTGAGATACTAGTGAATGACAACGTGTCACTTTTGACACATCATCCACTAATACCAGAAAAACAAAACAGATATTCAAAAAGAAAACCACAAAAATTAGTGGAAATTGTAAGCTCTACTTCACCCTATGAAAAGGTAATTGTAAAACTATATTCATTTTAAAAGATCATTTTTATTTTTCATAACCTTTGTTAAAGGTATACTCACATGCGTAAACATGGTGAGTATAGCAGTTGAACATTCATACTCACATTCATAATAAGTTATAAACCATAACAGTTAAGCATAAATCACCATATAAAGATTAGAGGTAAATGAGTGAACATGGTGAATACCGCAATGCCACCGCCCGAGGCCGAAAGCACTTACCAATTTACAAAGTGCACACTCCCCTTAAGGGTAATGTCAACCCAAAGAAGTTGAATAAGCCTAATGTACTATTGGTTTAATAATGTTTGATATAATTTTTCAATGTTCACCACCCAAAATGTATAGCTTTGTGGTAAAACAATGAATCAAATCCATCAACACATTCACTCAACAAAACACACAAATTCATAAATCATTGGGCGGCATAAAACATTAGAAATCTTATTTATAATTAAAACACTTTGAAATGCTCAATACAAAGTTCATACACACCATCAAAACAATTTAACAGGGTTGTTAAGACGATAAACATAAAAGCTTATCTTCAGTTTAATCATGTAGTCACCTTTGCTAATTAATTTTTCCATTTGAATGGGATAATAAGATGTGAGATAAAAAATGTAATCAACCCTAGCTATAACTCATGAGTTTGATTAATGTCATTCCCTTGGAAATGATGATTGATTCATGGATGTATTAGTGAAGATGATTGCAAATTATGGATATTATTAAGGTGGTACAATGGAGATGATTTAGCTACGGAGTGAATTGTGGTTAGCTAATTGCAAAATTCATGGAAATTTCTAGTTTGGGTGTTAGACAAAATTTGTAAAGAGGAGAAAGAGGAATATGCTTAATTTCTACCAATGAGCATGTGGAGTAAATTTCCAACAATGATGGTCGATTGATTTGCAAATAATAGTTTGAAGTTAATGTAGGGTGTTAGGTACTCTAAGCGGAATTTCATGAATCTCATTCATAAGCACCTAAACAGGATCTCATGCATATACAAATAAAGGATCACATTATAGTTTAGAATTAACCTTTGAAGCGTGAATCCTCTTAGCAACCTTCTTCTCTAGCGGAGATAAAGAGCCTCAAATGCAACTCCTCTATTTGGTCCACTGGGTTGAATCAACACTCCACCAATGCTAGTTGGACGGGAAAAACCTTTCAACTTTCTTGGAGTAGAGAACCGATTTTAGAGAGAAAATATTGAGAGAAAACTTACGTTGTTTTCAGAAAACTGAATACTGTATTCTTTATTTTCCCAAATCACTAATTAATATATAATCATATTATTATTAATTAGGGTAGGGTTTTCTCTCCCCTTTCCCTCCTTGGCTGGTCACCCTAAGGCCCACTTTGGGCTTCGGGTTTCTTTATTAATCCAAACCTAATGTGTGACCTTGTAGGATCCGTTTAGGCGGGCTTCAGGTTTGTTACTTACTAACCCAAAGTTCTATAGCATTCTCTAGCAAGACGAATAGACGACCTAAATAAACGAATTACTATCTCCATAATACGATCCATGATTATATTAAGTAATTGCACTAAAGTCGAGGACACATTTCCTTCAATCTCCCACTTGTCCGAGACAAGT